TATATATATATTAAATATTTAAATTTCTAGTTTAAAACAAAAATATAATATTTTGTATGTTTCTAATTTATTACTAATGGCACATAATATATGTATATATATGTATATGTATACAGGGTGTCCCAGATCATTTGGGACAGTACTCGTGTGCAGATAGAGCGGACTAAACTGAGTCGAAAAGTCTTCTATCATTTTGCAATTTTCGCAATAGTTAACGAATTATTAATTATTATTTATTTTTAGTATATAATGTTCAACAATAATATATATGTGCTTACGTTATATTATCTCACAATAATATAGTACAGTTTTATTTATATAGAATTGGCATGTCATTCGTTAATTTTATTGAATCCTATTTAGTATTGTTATAGTTTGCTCCCATGCACATCATACGTCCAGACTTCAAGCTTTTTGCCAATACTGTATGACACTATTTTGTTCCAATCAATTTTTGTTCGCATTACTGGTAGTTGTCTTCGCAATGCCTTAAAGGTGGTGTCGGACATCATTTGATAGTTCTCGAAAATTGCCGTTTGATTCTTCGACAAACCGTATCAAATCTTTCGCTGCTTGCTTCTTGTTGGAGATGGGCAGGCTAGGCTCTCCTTTATCTCTTTGCTACTAAATTTCTCTATCTGCTTGTGAAGAAAAGAACAGAATTATAATATTTAATTTAGTTTACATATCTGGTTTTATATGTGCTACTCAATATTTTATATGTGCTAATTAATTGTACTTACTGTCTGTTACTGCCAAATCTCTATAATCCAATATGTTACACTGTTTAGCAAAGCTCTTCAGCTAGGATTGCTACGGTATAAGACCGTATGCAATTTCAGCTGAAGAAATCCCAGCTATAAAAGTATACCAGTCTTCTCGAAAAGATTGATTTCGCTTTATCCTGCAAATAAGCGCTATAATTTAGATAATATTCAGATATAATCATTCAATATACTTATAAAACAATAAATAAACATGTATAAGCGGTAGTTGTCTTCGCAATGCCTTAAAGGTGGTGTCGGACATCATTTGATAGTTCTCGAAAATTGCCGCTTGATTCTTCGACAAACTGTATCAAATCTTTTGCTGCTTGCTTCTTGTTGGAGATGGGCAGGCTAGGCTCCCCTTTATCTCTTTGCTAGTGAATTTCTCTATCTGTTTGCGAAGAAAAGAACAGAATTATAATATTTAATTTAGTTTACATATCTGATTTACATATCTGATTATTTTCAATCTACTTACCGATAATACCATAACCTTAATTACGACGTCGCGATGCTACCGCGTATCGTGTCGCTTGATACGTATTATATACATACATATGCACGCACACGCACATACACATTGTCTCTCAAGGCGTATTTGCACACTCAAGCAAATAATTGTACATGAGCGCTGCAAACGCGCCTTGAGGGACAAAATCGCTTTGCGTGTGTGCGTGCGAGCATACGTACGTGAGAGTCTAAAACTGAAACTGAACCTTATTATATATTATGTGCCATTAGTAATAAATTAGAAACATACAAATTATTATATTTTTGTTTTAAACCAGAAATTTAAAAATATCAAATACACACAATGTAAAATTATATAGAAATGTGTTTACTATATACATAAGAATAGATTGAAAAACATTATGCAAATTAATCATAAATATATTATTTGAACTTATTTTTTACAGAAATAATAATATCAAAAATTAGCGCCAATTTAGAATAAAAAAAAATCGAATAACAAAAAGAAAACACTATAGAGCAGTTCCATCAAGAGACACGATAGTATTCCACGACAAGTATCAAGAGATATGGTATTGTTTTGGTTCAAATATATACATAATTACCTATAATTTGCAACCATAATTTTAATGACATATTTCTGAGTTCAAATAAGGCAAAAATTTTAAAACAATAATATCGATGTTATACTATTTCTAAATGGAAAGCATTTAATTTAATAACGTTCGAAGATAGGTGTTCCCATAGCTTCTTCTGCTTTTTAAGAGACATATGAAGTGAGAATTGAGATTCAATCTTATGATTTGCTGAGTGTAAATGGGTTATTCCTATACGGAACTATGTATTATGGATTAATGATAATTCTAACTGCTATCTTGTGTCAAAAATTGTAATAGTGTACAAAAAATGACAATGACCATAACAAATCTTAAAAAAAAAGATTCAACACTCACACATTAGGGTTTTACATTACATTTTCAATATCTCTATTTATAGGACACGCAGAACAGAAATAAAGACACTTTCATTATGTAAGAAGACTCAAGCTATTAATTATGTCTATTAAGAACTTGATCGACCTAGTCGTTATTAAAATCCGTTAATCTAAAGTACTTTCAACTGGGCGTACACTCCCCTTTGCTGTTGCTGTGCGTGACTTAGCGCAAGATACAATTATGCCTCTTGATGAATTATTGTATATTTGTCATGTTCTTCATTATACATATATAATTTTGCATAATAAATATATAAATATATTATTATGTTATATATTATTATATTTTTACTCCCCTTTGTGCGTGACTTAGCGCAAGATACAATTATGTCTCTTGATGAATTATTGTATATTTGTCATGTTCTTCATTATACATATATTACATATATAAATAAATATATAAATATATTATTATGTTATATATTATTATATTTTATATAT